TCCTGCTTAAAAGCGAGATTTTGGAGCATAGATTAGTAACGGTTAAAAGTATATAACGTTTCTGCAGATCTTGTTCCTGGTGATTTCATCCACGTTATCGGGGATGCTCATGTTTACCGAACTCACGTCCGGCCTCTACAGGAGCAACTTCAGAACCCACCTAAACCTTTTCCTGTCAGTTATATATACATACATAGCCTTTATATCACTTGGCAATGATCATGAACAGAACATAGTTTCTTGAAAAAGATTCCCTCTTTTTTCACTTCTGCAGATTTTGAAGATAAACCCGGAGAAAAAGGGCATAGATTCTTTCGTCTCGGGTGATTTCGAGCTCATCGGCTATGATCCTCACAAGAAGATAGAAATGAAAATGGCGGTTTAGTTCTCTGTTACTGGTACTACTACCTGCAACAAAAGGAAACGGAAAGAAACCTGTAGGATTCTTGGAAATGGCCATTGCCCATATTGAAGGTAACTTCCATGAACCAAGATCATTCAAAATTTTCAAGCTTTTTTTTTTTTTTTGGGTGGTTTTGGGATTATATGTAAAGTGAAGATGGATACAGTGATTAGTTGAATGAATTCTGATAGTCATTGAGTTTGTGGTGTTGATATTGGGGTTGAATGGAAGAGGCTGTCGAAATTTTTAAAATTTAGAGAAAACAATTGAGATTTTGTAAATTTGAAAACTATTTTAGTGAAATAATTATAAAAATCAAAAGTTTTGTTTTTTGAATTTACAAATACTATAAAAACCAAAAGTTAAAAACCAAGTCTAAAACTAAAACGAAAAACTCAAAATAAAAATTATCTAAGTGTTCAACGGGGTGAACTTTGATTCCACGTAGATTTTGATTAAATCTTTTAGTTGTTTTTCCACATGGACTTTGATTTGGTGGTTCGTTGTAAGGTGATGTAGGGTTTTACACATTTTAAAATTTATTGTTGGATTTGATTTTATATTTATTGAAATTTCATTTTGAAAGAGGAACAAATCTGTGTACACTTAACAAAATGTGATTGGTGGCATGCTTATAGGCTATATTCAAAATGATAATTTAAATGTGATTTTTTTTTTATATATTTTTTTTTAATGTGGAGATGTATTCGACCGACCAAATTATCTAAGCATGTTAGAATGGTATGATTCTTTCCTAACAAATATCTCAAGATTCTTCTTTAGATTCCGTTTAATAATAGATGATGAAAGAAAGATTCTTGCTGACGTGTCTTTGTATAAAGAGTAAAACAGATGCTAAATGGACAAAGACTTGTTGAGGGATTAGATTCTGCCTTCATATATTGTCGTTTATGTTATTTTGGAGGTAATTAATAAACATCTAAAAAAATTTGCTGCCTAGTTTATTTTCACATCTTTTCATATTAATTTATACATCTATAAAAAAAGTAACTACATATTTATGATGAACGATCGATATAGTATTTAGGCCTTCAGATGAGAGCGAGCTTTGGAATCTTACATAGTATTTTTTTTTTATAATTTATGTCAATTCTCGAATTTATATAAATACATACATACATACATACATATATGTGTGTGTATCATACAATTACCATGATAATTAATATATATGTATACACACACACACTAAAGGCACATGGAAATATTATATAACTCGATAAATTTAAATTTGTTCGAGAGGTGCATGACACTCTCCACGCGTTTTCATATTCCTTATTGTTCCATTGGCATATTAGTGGCGAACCATATCTAACCTCATCACCCCTTTCCAAATCCATGTCTCCTAGTTACATATCTCTGCGTGTACATATACACACACACACACATATATATATATATATCTACAACTCTTTTTTATCTTTAACACTAATCCTAATTATAATTGTTATTTGAGATCTATATCAATAATTTGATATTGGTAATTTTTGCCATATATATATAGAGAGAATTTAAATATGGCATCTTATGATTTGCTTTGATTAAAATTAATGATTATACCAGAGTAATAAAAAAAATATCATGACCACTTAACAAAAGTTATATATATTATATACATATATATGGAATTTATAAGATATATAAAAAATTTAAATCTAAAATGTTGTAGAAAATATGAAGAATTTATATTATTCTCTAACATTACTGAGGCCTAATCCTAATCCTGCATAGTAATTAGGAATTTTAACTATGTTAGTTAATTTTATGTATGTATATATGTTTTCTTTCATAGAGAGATGAATAAAACTTAGGTTTTGAGTATAAAGGGAAATAGTCTCTTATGAGAGAAAAGTATTATTTTCTTTTCATAACATTCAATCACTTTTTTACCTAAAAGCATTATATATATACATACACTTTTTATATGCTAATATGGTTATCTATATAATATAACTTTTACAGTTTAAAGATTCGTGGTGGTAAGAACAAAATCAATGGAGATATATATAGTACAAATTCCATTCTCCATATGATGCCCCTAATATCACTCTCTCATCCAAAACTCATAATATCATATATATATATATATATATATATATATATATCATCAAGACTGTTTATATCAATAAATTTAAATTCAAATTTAAATATCAATTAACCCTTCGCGGACCAACAAAGAAAAAGGAAAAGAAAAGACCCAAAAGAAAAGAAAAGATTTGTTCCCAGTCATTATAAATATTCTATTCACAATATATGTAATCTTCCATGCATGTATGGAAACTTCCCATTGGCTGTATTGATTTGGCAATTTACATAAAAACCCTTTTAAAGGGTTTCAAAGGGTAAGACAGTAATGTTCTTAAAACAGAAAAATCAAATGGCAAAAAAAAAAAAAAAAGGTTTTCACTGATGAAGTGACACTAAATCACAAAGTGTTCTTCATGCTTCTGAAATCTCTTTTGCCTCGCGATGAAAGCCTCGATCTTGTTCCTGAACTCTTCACTGCTCATAACATCTTCTTGGTACGGAAACTTCACCAGCTTCTTGTCGGAACCACAGATCCTCAGACACTTGTCCGATTCGTACCTCTTCAGTTTCCCGCCATATTTCTCCGGCTTCACCGCTTCAGAAGATTTCTCCGACAGACTTCTCCTGCAGATCCGCTCGTCGAAACGGACCCTTTTCTCTTCCACTGATCCCCTCTCCTCGATCTTGTACCGTCCGATTTCAGATCTGTTCTCGCTCTTCAACTTCTTTCGGGTTTTGGTTCCAACCATGGTGACTGGTCCTAATGGCAATGTGACAATGGCGTCAGATCCTCGGACAACTTACCAAGTCGTGGTGGCCGCAACGAGGGAAATGGGTATCGGTAAC